ACCCCTGAAACCCCCAGGAATTTCCCAGCCTGGAGTTGGCAACCCCATCCCCTTCCCACCTAACCATCAACCTACTGTTATCTGCCCCTCTGACTGCAGCTGACTTCTGCCCTCCCTCCTGGAGATCAGTTGTAATTCTAAGTGATCTCCATCCTTCACCTGGAGATTGGCAATAATGGTTCCCCAGGAGAAAATGGCTAGTTCAGAGGATGGAGTCTATGGCATTGTACCTGTCTGAGGTCCCACCCCTCCTCAAACCTCACCCTCTCCAGGCTCCACCCCTCAAATCTCCAGGAATTTCCCAACCTGGAGTTGGCAACCCTATCTCCTTCCCAGCCAATCATCAACCTACCTTTATTTCCCCCTCACTCTTCAGCTTACTCCTTAAGTTCACTGCCATCACTCACTGAATTGTCACTGCCGTTATAGAGGGACAGTGAGACCCCTCTGGCCTAATCTCCCTATTTGGAGATGGAATCTCCAATCTTTGGGGGATCCCTGGAAAGCTGGCAACCGTAGGGTCTGGCCTTTCCTTGCTTCCTTGGGCTACCTCCTCCCTTTGTTATTGTGCAGAGCAGGGGAGACTATGTGGTCAGAGCACAACACAGATTAGTAGCCCAAATATCCACTTCTGGAGGTTGTGGGCTCAGGATAGGATCTCTCCTTGGACCGGTGTCTGGCTCTGCTTCAGCCCAAGCCAAAGAGAGCAGGGAAACTTCCATTCATTCCCCAGTCCAGCCAACTGTGGAGTGGCTGAATCTCTGCTGCCTCCCAGGGTTCCCCCACGTCTGTGGCTTGTGGCCTGGACAGCCTCATCCGCACAGGCAGGAGTGTTTCCTGTAGGACGAAGACGGCCTCGTCCCTGTATGGGCTGGAGTCTATATTGATGCTGCCCTGCTCCTTGGGACAGTCTCTCTTTTCCCGCACTTTTATGCCTTGGGGCAGCTGAGAACTGTAGGCCAGCAGATGAGGAAGCCCCACCTTGGGTCAGTCACAAGCTCTGGCACAGCTGTCCTTGAAAAAGAGCAGTTTGTGTCAGAGTTCTCTCAGCCCCGCCCACCTCACAGGGTGTCTGTTGTGGGGAGGGGAAGGGAAAGGAGTTTATAAGCCGCTCTGAGATTCCCAGTGAAGGGCGAGGTATAAATCCAATCTCCTCCTCCTCCTCCCCATTCAACCCAGTGAGTGATACCCCTGCAGGCCCCTCTCTGGAACTACAGCTCAATTAAACCTTATGGGGGAATATTTTAAACCAGCGGTTCTCAACCTGTGGGTCACGACCCCTTTGGGGGTCGAACGACCCTTTCACAGAGGTCGCCTAAGACCATCGGAAAACACAAATTTTTGATGGTCTTATGATAGCACCGAAAATAATTTTATGTTTGAGGGTGACCACAACATGAGGAACTGTATTAAAGGGCAGCGGCATTAGGAAGGTTGAGAACCACTGTTTTAAACCAACAACCACACAGACGGCAGTCATCTTACAAACACAGCTAACTGCCATTTTGTTACACCTACCAACAGCCACTGAGGGAAAAGTTAAGTCCCACACAGGAGAAAAGCAGGAGAAGCATCTTCGTTAAGAGAGAAAGGCGTTTGCAAGTAATTCTGGCAGGGCAGAGTGGCTGAAGGGGGAGTGGGGTGGGAAGAGGAGCAGACTCAGCACCCGGCCAATGGCTGAGGGAGGGCATGGAATCTTGCCACCCCAAAACAGGATTATGTATAAGGAGAGATGCATTAAGCTGCTTCTTTGAATTAATATTTCTTTTCAATGCTTCAGCAGTGCTAGGCCCTCACCAAGAAGTGACCTTTTATGATTTAAGCTGCTATTTATTTAGTTTGATCTCCAACCCAACAATACTGGGCATATAATATTAAAATGTCAGTTCTATCCAGGGGTCTTTTGGGGCTGGAGCTGCGGCTCGGGGGAGGCCGGAAGAGCCCCGCTCCCGGGTCCCTCGAGCCCGTGCGGGAGCACTGCAGCTCGGGGGAGGCCCGGAGAGCCCCGCCCCCGGGTTCCCCAAGTCCATGCGGGAGCACTGCGGCTGGGGGAGGCCCGGAGAGCCCCGTCCCCGGGTCCCCCGAGCCCACGCAAGAGCCCTGCGGCTTGGGAAGGCCCGGAGACCCCCGCCCCTTGGTTGCCAAGCCCGCACAGGAGCGCTGCGGCTGGGGGAGGCCCGGAGAGCCCCGTCCCCGGGTCCCCCGAGCCCACGCAAGAGCCCTGCGGCTTGGGAAGGCCCGGAGACCCCCGCCCCTTGGTTGCCAAGCCCGCACAGGAGCGCTGCGGCTGGGGGAGGCCCGGAGAGCCCCGTCCCCGGGTCCCCCGAGCCCACGCAAGAGCCCTGCGGCTTGGGAAGGCCCGGAGACCCCCGCCCCTTGGTTGCCAAGCCCGCACAGGAGCGCTGCGGCTGGGGGAGGCCCGGAGAGCCCCGTCCCCGGGTCCCCCGAGCCCACGCAAGAGCCCTGCGGCTTGGGAAGGCCCGGAGACCCCCGCCCCTTGGTTGCCAAGCCCGCACAGGAGCGCTGCGGCTGGGGGAGGCCCGGAGAGCCCCGTCCCCGGGTCCCCCGAGCCCACGCAAGAGCCCTGCGGCTTGGGAAGGCCCGGAGACCCCCGCCCCTTGGTTGCCAAGCCCGCACAGGAGCGCTGCGGCTGGGGGAGGCCCGGAGAGCCCCGTCCCCGGGTCCCCCGAGCCCACGCAAGAGCCCTGCGGCTTGGGAAGGCCCGGAGACCCCCGCCCCTTGGTTGCCAAGCCCGCACAGGAGCGCTGCGGCTGGGGGAGGCCCGGAGAGCCCCGTCCCCGGGTCCCCCGAGCCCACGCAAGAGCCCTGCGGCTTGGGAAGGCCCGGAGACCCCCGCCCCTTGGTTGCCAAGCCCGCACAGGAGCGCTGCGGCTGGGGGAGGCCCGGAGAGCCCCGTCCCCGGGTCCCCCGAGCCCACGCAAGAGCCCTGCGGCTTGGGAAGGCCCGGAGACCCCCGCCCCTTGGTTGCCAAGCCCGCACAGGAGCGCTGCGGCTGGGGGAGGCCCGGAGAGCCCCGTCCCCGGGTCCCCCGAGCCCACGCAAGAGCCCTGCGGCTTGGGAAGGCCCGGAGACCCCCGCCCCTTGGTTGCCAAGCCCGCACAGGAGCGCTGCGGCTGGGGGAGGCCCGGAGAGCCCCGTCCCCGGGTCCCCCGAGCCCACGCAAGAGCCCTGCGGCTTGGGAAGGCCCGGAGACCCCCGCCCCTTGGTTGCCAAGCCCGCACAGGAGCGCTGCGGCTGGGGGAGGCCCGGAGAGCCCCGTCCCCGGGTCCCCCGAGCCCACGCAAGAGCCCTGCGGCTTGGGAAGGCCCGGAGACCCCCGCCCCTTGGTTGCCAAGCCCGCACAGGAGCGCTGCGGCTGGGGGAGGCCCGGAGAGCCCCGTCCCCGGGTCCCCCGAGCCCACGCAAGAGCCCTGCGGCTTGGGAAGGCCCGGAGACCCCCGCCCCTTGGTTGCCAAGCCCGCACAGGAGCGCTGCGGCTGGGGGAGGCCCGGAGAGCCCCGTCCCCGGGTCCCCCGAGCCCACGCAAGAGCCCTGCGGCTTGGGAAGGCCCGGAGACCCCCGCCCTCCCTTCTCTTCCTTCCTCTCTTTTCCTCCTTTCCTTCTCTCCTTTCCCTCTTTCCTTCCTTCTTCCCTTCTCTTTCTTTCCCACCTTCTTCTCTTCTCTCTTTCCCGCCTTCTTCTCTTCTCTTTTTTCCTCCTTTCCCTGTTTCCCTCCTTCTTCCCTTCTCTCTTTCTTTCCCTCCTTCTTTTCTTCTGTTTCTTTCCCTCTTTCCTTCTCTCTACTCTCTCTCTTTCCTTCCGTCTTTCCTCCTGTAGCCCAGCTGTAGTGAGAAGGGGTTTAAAGTTTAAACCCCTTCTCTCTTCGCTCCCTCCCAGCTGGGGAAGGGAAGGGGAGGGGAGGCTTTTGAAGATGCCTCCCCCCCCTTTTGCTTCCCCTTCTGCCATCACTTCTGGTGATGTCAGGGGGCATGGCATATGCTAATAGCCCAGTAACTCATTAGCATACCATATGTTAATGAGCTTCTGCAGCTCTTTTTCTACAAAAAGACCCCAGGTTCTATCACTTCCCCAAATAAAATTCCTGTCCAAAACATAGTATCAGAATTGTCACCTACCACCCTCTAGATATTAAAAGCAGTCCCAAAATCCCAAAAGGAAAACTGTTTTGGTTTGGATTGTGGTGACTCCCTATGAGAAGAGCATTTTTGTGGCCATGCGCCAGCCACCAAGTTTGTTTCTGTGCATCTCTGATTTAACGAAAGTGATGGAATGTATGGAAAAGGCTTTAAGATAATGAAAAACTAAGCCCTTCACCACTTTGACACCACCACCTTGAATTAAAAACACTGGAGCACTGTGAGTATGCTTTACAGCCCACTTCCAGCATGAAAACTTGATGCACAGTACAGCATGACAATTCAGCACAGTCCTCAAAGGTAGCCTTACAAAGCATATTACAAGAGTCTAGCTGTAAGTTATGGACATGAATGACTCTTGATAAGTCCATGGTGTAGAAGAATGGTCACAGGCTTCTTAACAAATATAAGTAATGAAAGCACTCTAGCCATCACCACGACCTAGCTTTCCAGGTGTATTCAAAGCTTTAAATCTGAGTAGAAAGGCAGCTGACCACCACCTATTATGCCTTACTCTTCTCCCGAGGTTTACCAACCATCACTACCTTCACATTGTCTGCATTCAGCACCACTTTCAGTTCTTTACAATGGAAAGCAGTGTGTAAGTTATGTTAAATGATCAGCTATAGCCACTAGAGGCTAAAGATTACAACACTTGAAAGAGACCCCATTAATAATCAGTGGAAGACATAGAATCATAGAATGTTAGAGTTGGAAGCCACCTTGCAGGTCATCTAGTCCACCCCCTGCACTCTGCACCATTGTTGCATATTGCAACATTGTTTTTTAAAAGTATTTGAAATTAATCTAAAGTGTCTACGAGAAGTAAGACTGCATACTGACCAGTCTTTTGCTATAACGGATCCGCTCTTCTTCAGGCTCCATCTCAGACTCTTCCGACGAGAGTGAGAAGGAGATATCGGAACTGCTGTCGTCTTCTTCCTCCTCCTCAAAAATCAGAACAGAGAGCACATTAAAAAAAACTTCCAACTTCTAGTTAGAATGTCCCATTTTTTCACCATGAGGTCCTCAAAGGGATCCACATTTTCTTCTTTGCTTCAGCTCCCATTACCTACCAGGTATTATTTCCTAACTTTTACCAACAGCAATATGAAATGCCAATAAGAGAATAATGATAACTTAACAAGGACTAATGAAATAAAACAGTATGGGCTTTCAATTTTAGAAACTTGATTAAGCCATTACCACTGATATGGATTTGAAGTCTTTATTAATGCTTTCCAAATAAAAGGAGCTCAATAAGTTGGAGTAGACAATGCAAGTCGGGGCTTGGCCCTTCCAAAATTGAATCAAGCCCAGAATATTCATGCTTGAACACTGAATGATATTTTTACAGTTCACCTAGTGCCCACATCTAAATACATACGTTGGGCTTTAATATATATATATATATATATATGAATTACACACACACACACATGTGCCAAATTAGATGTACAGAATATAACATCAGCATAGGTTTTGCTTGTGCATTATGAACACAGCATGTGAAAATACTCTGTATGATTTGGGCTTCAGACAGATTAAGAAGTTCCTTTTAATATATATATATATGAATTACACAAACACACACATGTGCCAAATTAGATGTACAGAATATAACATCAGCATAGGTTTTGCTTGTGCATTATGAACACCGCATGTGAAAATACTCTGTATCATCATCATCATCATTATTTATTACGGTCAAAGACCCATCAAACAGCATACAAGATCAGAAAAGCAAACCCAGGTTACCAAAACATTACAGAGAGGAGACATCATAAATAGTATTAAGGAGGAGCTTGCGCTTTGCAAATGCAATAAAAAGAAATTTAGCAACATTCCTTGATATTGCAATGGATTTGTCCTCCAATAGATATTTCAGCACAAGTTCCTCAGAATGAATTGCTAGTTGTCCTTGGACCCTAAGTGACCTTAATATAGGTGTAATTAAGAGGGCTCTTTCTTCTGCATAATATTTATGAGCTTAAGGGCCTCCTTTTGCTGTGGGGAGGTATTGCCAATGTTCAGGGATTCTAATTTGGATCCAATTAACTTAGTTCTAACACTTATGTGAGTGTCCCTCTGAATCAGGTGAGCGAAGCCTGGTCCACTAGTGAGAACCCCTCTACTTTCTTTGTTGGTAAACAATGTGAATGCTAGCTGCCATGCTCTTTTCTCAATTGATGGCTGGGCAAATTCCACCCTAAGGGCCGTGCCTGCCACACATCTCGGGACTGCCGGGATGTCTCTAAGGAATGGGTGAGGGGAGTCTAATTTCTCCGACACAGCTTCTATGCAAACTCCACAGCCATATAAGAGTTGCGGGACCACTTTAGCATTAAAGATCCTAATAGCTGCCGGAATATGTTTGGCCCCTTTTGAGCAATAAATTTTTTTAATTACTCTGGCTGTGAGGCTTGCGGCCTTCAGAGCCGGCTTGACATGTGGGGACCAAGATAGATTATAAGTAAAGGTAATTCCAAGATATCTGTAAAAAGAGACTTTTTCTAGTTCCCCCCCCCCTTCACTTTTAGGGATTTGGCCCCGGAGTAGGCGGGTTGGGCTTTAATGCAGAATGTTTTGCATATTGTACAGTTTGAAATGAGCTGAGAAGTTGAAAATCATGCTCATATTTGTAAGCAAATATCTCTTGGAATTTTCCCAGGAAGCATGTCAAAACAATTATAAATGCCATGATTGATTCCTCTGTGGCCAAACTGAAAGGCTCACCTCTCATAGTTTACCACGCTGTAGCCCAATAACAAAGTAGCACTCCCAGCATTTTATACAGCAGTTTGGTTCTGTTTGGATATGACAAATTATGCAATCCACTGTTTATCTGTACACTTTTAAGGAACATCTATGACTTCAAAGCAGTGGCAGAAGCCTGTGTAGTATTTAAAGACTGCAAAACATTTCATGGCACACATTATCCCAGGTCCATTAACTAGTGACCTACCACAGCCAACGCAGTCTGCCATCATGGCAGCCCACTAGAACCTCACTTTTTCTGACCCATCACAAAAGCAAGAGGTTCATCAAGAAGCTGACAGACCACGATCATGCCTTCTGCAGACCTACCTCATCCCCTAAGCCCATTTTGATCAAAACCAAATGATAAACAATACCTACAGCAAAGTCACAAATATTAAGAGGCTAGTATCAGCCCAATATGACTGCAAACCAAAGAACTGCCCATCCATACCTCCATTACCAGACTGTATTATCACTGTCAGGGCATGTGATGCACACCAGTCTCAGAGTACAGTTTGGCATGGGTTGCTGAAGTTAAAAAGGAGAAGAAAAGGGGTGCACAGAACAACTGGGCAATTACAACTGATTGAAAAGATAACACTGCAAGAGTCTAAAGATGGAGAAAGCACTAAGATGATGGACAAAGGGCCCTAGAAGACCTGAGCTGGACATGCATAAGTTATAGTGGTGGATTCTATCCCTCAAGGAGTACCAAGTGTGACCTCAATGTGGTACCAACTTCAAATATTTAAGTAGTGTTTTCAGATACCATAGCTGAAGCATGTGAGAAGTCCGCATGTTGTAGGATTGAGTCAAGGAAACAATCAGTCCAGTACCCTAGTATAGAGAACTTGTTTGTACTAAATAACGAGTATAATACAAGGACTACAGCTTTAAAACTAAATCAGAACTAGCTAAAAGTTTTATGCCTGTCTCTGTACTTCAAGTAAACAGCCGTAAGAGACTGGGTGGGGTGAAGAAAATTCAGACTCCTACTCCCACATCTCCTGACCAACTTTCTCCTTCCAAATAATCCCAGAAGTTTTAAAAGACTGCAAAGCGAAGTAACTCAGACTACCACATGCAAGCCTGACTCCATGCCAGGACAGGCATGAAGCAGAACAAGCAGAAACTTTCCTTCTACCCTTTGAGTAGGAGAATACCAGTTTACAGTGACCCAAACAGAACGAAACACCCAGACTTCCAATACAGAACAAGAGGAAATGCATTATTCTACAAAGGGACGGAATGTAAAGTCAAGTCTTACCAGGTCTCTGGCTTTCTTCTGTCCTTTTCTAAGGACAAAAAGAGAGTTGGAAAACAAATTAATTCCCAAGTGTGTTTGTCTTCGGCCTGGAGGCGGGAGGGCTTCAGCATCCAAAAGAGGCAACAAGCGACACACACAGGAAACCCCCTCGGGGGGAGGGAGGGGGGGTGGCCGCCAGGTGAGCCCCGGGACTCCCCTGCAGGGCTCCATCAGCCCCACTGGGGGGTGGGGGACGGACGGGAGACTCGGCCGCCCTCTTCCCCGCTTCCCACCCCCCTGGCCTCCGAAGAGGGACCAACTCAGCACAGCTCCTCGGAGGGGAGCGCGAAACTCTCGGCCGCTCAGGTTGGTTCGTTTTTAAACAAGCGGCTTCCGTTCTACCTGGGCAGGCGGGCAGGCAGGCAGGCGGGCAGGCAGGCACTCCGGAGAACCCCGGGGGGGGGGCCTCCTCCTCCTCCTCGCAGGACCTCAGGGTGCCGGGGGGGGGGGCGTCCC